AAACACTGGATAACCCCTGCCCCTACGCGAATAAATCTTGCTAGGTAATGCCTGCAAACGCGCCCTTCCCTGCGAAAACGCCGCAGATCGTTTCCTAGGGGTCTAACCTCCCTTTAGTGTAGGCACTTTCTCTTCATCAGTTCAATTTATTGTATCCTCTACCTTCAAACAACAATTTGTAGTTTCCAGAAGCTGATCGCTGATTGATGTCGCAAAGTACAGAACCGTCGACTGTTAACAACCAGTCAAGCTCCGATCACGTTTGCGGCAGCGATTCGAATATCGACGAGAAGTTCCAGGCTGCACTCGAAATAGTAGCCAGTTTGCCTGTGGATGGTACGTAGCCCGAGCAGATATATGTATAGCAGATATCTATTTCTTAATCATGCATTCGATTTTTAAGACCTTTTGAGCCATCTTAAATGCAGCGATCACGATGGCTGGTGGGCGTTGCGGTGATGACGTCACTGAACTTTAGCGGTGGAAGGGCGTTAAGAGGCAATCTTAGCCACACCGTCAGCGCGATAAGAGGCTTAATCCACCAATGATGTTCAGTGACGTCATCGAAACCGCACCCCCTGCAGGTATCGAGAACAGTGCCTTTAAGGGCGCCACCCTTAAAGTTGATTTGGTAATCCCATTCGGATATAAAAGAAAGGGTGCGGAGGCATGCCACTCAAAAATAGAAAAATAAACCGTCAAGAACACCGAAAATGCAAGCCTCCTTCGTTTTACGTAATGGAGAGGTCTGATGGTAAAGGGCAGATAAAGGGATAAGGGATAATGGGTACCGAGACGCAAGAGCATCGCCGGCCATTCATACGGCACAGATCACCCCGGTCACCACAGTGGACGTGCACGGTAACACGGGAGATAAAAATTTAAGTTCTGACATCTAACACTTCAATGCGCAAATTTGGCATGACCCTTTAAAGCGAGAGATTACGATAAAGTTGTGTGCAGCGTGGAAGTACATGCACCAGTGGAAGCAGTAGTCAGGGGCCAAGGAAACGAAATGTTGCGTTTTTGTGGCCAAAGGTGCGCTAGCTGCAGCGTACTGGGCTTGCCATTCCTTTCTGAGCTCCGCCACGGCCTGTGCTCCGCCCCCAGCAGCAGCGTCCTTCGATTATCATTTTGATGAGGTATTCCTTTGAGTGCGTATCCTATAACTTTCCCATGGAATGCGTCAATACAATCAAAGCAAATGCTTGCTGAAATGATAGAGGCTATCAGCATAGTAATGTGCAAACGACCTCCTAATTGGTTGCTAGCTCGTCCATTATCGGAGGTCAACGGGCAAAGAAAGGGGTCCCATTTTGCGCCTTCTTGACGGATTTCTTTGCTTTTTTCGCCACTGGGGCATTATTCAGCATCTCCACTTCCACTATGAACCCAGTCCAAACTTATCGTAATCCCTCGCTTTAACAAACTTGTATCAAAGGAAGGGACTCTCCAATTAACGAATCATCGGAATGTCCCTTTAAGTATCGAGATAGTAGAATGACATTATAACTTAAAATTGGTACGAATATATCCTACGTTTCCAGCGCCTTAACGTGTCGCAGTTGTAGGACAGTATCACTGGAGTAGGGGAAGAGTATCAAAATCCCCATGTGAAACTGTTCTTTTGTTCGAAGCCGTCCCGCTTGCCTGTAGTACTGGCAAAGCGCAGAAAAAAGAAGATTTCTCCTATATTCATTGCAAGAATTACGGTTAGCGTCGGGTGTTGACAGCGCTTGCAACCACCGCACCCGCAACTGACGAGTAGGTTATCACTACGCACAATCGTGAGGGGTTATCAAAGCAAGAAGTTCAACCTCATTATAGTATACCTTCCTTTAAATGGGCGGATTCCTAGAGAACTCATGTGCTGTTCGCTCTGGAAGGTTGTGTGTATCTACCTGCACTCTTATGAGTTTTCACAAAGAATTATCACCATATTTTGTAGGCCCAGTGACCACGAGTACTGACGAAAAGCTCGCCTTCTATTCATTCTACAAGCAGGCTACTGTCGGTCCATGCAATACTCCCAAACCAAGTTTCTGGAACGTGGTTGAGAAGTTCAAATGGTTAGTCGAATTGTTCCAAGAAACATTCATGAAGGTTCACATAAAGCTTTCTAGGGATGCATGGAATAACTTGGGCCAAATGGATCCCAACGAGGCCAAGGCAGCTTATGTTCTTCGGCTGTTGAAGAAGATCAAAGAGGTCAACAAGGAATACGACACTGGTGTGAGTTCTGTCTTATACAGCGCATTCAGTGAGTGGCCACCCAAAAAACGAGCCCCCCGGAAAAAAGAAAGCCAAAGATTTTGGCGTTTTACGTGGCTCAAAGGTGGCCACTAGAACCTGTGGCCATTTAAGATATCCCATCGATACTATTCCTACGATCGTCATCCTTTAAATATGGCTGGCAGTAAGAGGGAATAAATACAATAAAGTTTTGTAGAGCAGAGAAAGAGCTCTCGAAGAACATATACATAGTTTTCCAAAAAAGGTGCATTGGCTAAATTGAAACTCACAAACAATGATTCAATATATTAGGTATCTCATTCAATGCTATACGGCATTATTCCGAAATAATATATCCTTCTATTTTATAAAGCGCTAACTTTGTGTGTCGGTTTGTGTATCTGTATGTGTGTGTGTGTGTGTGTGTATGTATGTGTGTCCGTCCGCAAAATGAAGTGAGTGAGAAGGAAGCTCATGGGATAAACAAACCGCTAACAAATCGGGTAGCTTACAGGATTTGAGATATCAATGTTTTGTAGCAGGATAGTTGTGATAACACTCTTAGGGCTATATAAACACCTGCTTAGCACACTTCCGTTCATTCCACATGGTGCTGCAGTGGCAGCTGGAGGGCAGTGGAGAGAGGGAGGATGAGGAAGGGAAGCGAAAAATCTACCGTCATATCATGATTGTGTCCCTTCTACTGTATGAAAACCATTGTGTTGCATACGCGTCACTTCCAGGAGGTGTTGGTGTCACAGGAGGAAGGGACCATAGCGGAGGATAGAAAGCTTGCGCAGGAAAGGAAGGTCCCGGCGGTTGACGGGGGACTAATCTGGTATAATAAACAATGAAAAGATAAAAAGCAATACTTTTGGTGGAAGTCAAGCAGATCTTGTCTTGTTAACGACCCGATCCCAGCGTCTAGAAAACACTGGACACCGCGCAGCTTCTTCATTTCAACAAGTATAGACAAGATGCTTTTGATGTCAGTATAGATGATCAACGAATTGTCGTAGCGCTTCCGAACGAGTAGGGCGTTCAGTTCGATAAAACAGCTGAGGTCGCATGGCTGCAGTTGGGAAAATACGGCTGATAAGAAGAGGCCACAATATCCGTTTGATCGAAATACCCGTGAGCAATATGAGCTATGTAGGGTCTGGTATCGACATAGGTGATGATATCGTTATTGTAGTTTTATACTGCTATTCCTTTGTCAATTTGATCGCTAAGAAACAAGCCATACACTTGAGAAACCGATGGAGGTTTTTTCCCGACAGAGCCATTTAAGAGGCACATCTCAGAAATCCATCGCCATAATAATCATCCACGTGAACCCACGTGACTTCTCGTGATCCAATTCGGGCAGTTCCTCATTCGCGTTAATCCAAAAGTTGACGCTTTGACTTGGCCTCAGCGTACAATTCCACACAAATTTCGTTTATGAGCAGGGTCCAGTTTGATAGTCTTAAATGCCGTTATCGGCAGAGAAAATCATTGCTACAGACACCAATTCGATTCTGGACTCCTGCATCTGGGAGTAAATGGGATATCCAAAAACATGTTCTGTGGACCATCCCCAATTTTTGGGCACAATTTGCGTAACAGGTGCAGCTAGACTGCAAGTCTCGTGGGCAAACATCGCAAAGGTTCAACATCTGTGATGCGCCATTTGAAACCTCATTTCATCCACCCGCTCTTCTTGGGCAAGGTGGACAATATGAACGCGTCCTCAACCACAACTCGCTTCCGTTCTCCCTTCTTTGAGCTCTCACACCATATCTTCAACGTAGCACTTCGAGAACACTGTATCACGCGTAAGTTGAGCCAGCACACACAGAATTCGAGTTGCGAATTTTACGTGTGTCACCAGTCATCTGGAAATTCCACCTCGATTTGGGTCACTATGAATTCTTTTATGTGTTTAAGTGTTTCCTCCTGCAGCACTATAAACTAAATTAGGGTATACCGTAGCTGGGTGTGCTAGCTTAAAAGCAAAAGCAAGTAGAATGCTCTAGCTCTTTTACTTTTCCCACCATTTCTCTCTAGATGTCTGGACATGTTTG